GAAGCTTTGTTAACGAGATATTAACAAAATACCCCGACCAATCAGAGCGCGAGTCTGCCCGCCGAGTTCCCGCGGTAGCGTTGGTTACCAATCGCAGCGCGTAGCCAACGCTACCGCGGATGCTCGGCCGGTAGACCCACACTCTGATTGGTCGGCGTTTTTCGCAAATATTAATAAGTACAATTTTTATTAAAATTATTTCAGAAATGTAGCAATCATTTACTAGGCTTTTAGCCGTTTTGCATTTTGTAAATAATTTTCTAAAAATCACGATAACAATGAGTAATTATTTCTATAAAAATTTCAAGAAAAATAAATCTAATTACATTTTCAACGGCTGTTTTGTTACAAATAAATACAATCTAGTATTAATCTCAAACATCCATAAATTCAACAATTCAGTGACTCACTGGTTGGTTTATAGGCAGCTCTCTTTTCTGGATCATCGTGATCTTCGAATGCAAATCTGCCGCGAATAAGTCGCTTGCCAGGGTAATGATAAGAGAGTGATACAGTCGGTCGGTGCGTGCTCGCTTATGCAACGACAGAAACCTGTTTGGCACATCGTTGAATACATCATCGATATCAGTGGTGTTCATGGATCCTCCTGTTTTTTTCTGTGATTCGATCATCGTTCATTTTTTTCATTTGTGGAAAATATCGCGGTATCATTGGGACACACCGAACCGAGAGTTATTCTTCCCTTTTGGAGGCTGTTCAATCACTGGGATGGATAATGCAGGGAGATTCTACGCAGTTATGTTGCGATCTCCTCATTTCCGGTCTAGAAACAACGCGTAGGTTTCGAACATCACTTGAATTTAGAGTGTCATGTAACTAGTGGTATAACTGAGTACGAGGAGTGATCCTACGTGAGAAAGCAAATCGAAAATATACAACAAAATTGTTCCATTTGAGACTTCGTTTTTCGAGAAAAACGAATTTGCAAATTAATATTACAGTGGGGTATGATACAACGAACAAATTGATTCTAAAATCTTGTTCTTTGCAGCATTCTAATGTTAATAATAAAATAAACTGTTCGCTGTAGAATTCGTTCCAGCATACTGCACTGAATGGTAGTAAGTAGAAACAGAATGCAATGGACAGACGCGCCAGCCACGTCCTATTCCATTGCACGCGTATGCAGTAGATTCTCAGATTCGATTATCTCGAAAATGAAGTGTCAAATGAAAAAATTTTACTGTACATTTTTTACTTATTTTTTCACGTAGGATCACTTCCTGTCTGGGTTCGTACCACCAGTTACACGACATCCTGTATAGATTCCGTTCAATGATATAAGCTGCGACTGTGGCTAGCCTTTCGGGTCCCGATGATGCTCGATAATCGTCGTCGGCAAGTGTAACGAGGTTAATTCAAATAACTGTCCGCGTCTGGTCAATTCGAGTCACGAGCTCCTGCCGTCTCTAATTTGTTTTCTGATCCGTTTTGTCACCCTTGAAATCGATCGCGATCCTATTTGTCCAAATACGTACGAAATATTCAACCACTGGAATTGTCTGTTTATCATTCACGTGAACTTCCTTATTTCGTAGCGATTCGAAGGAAAAATACGAGTACACACATTCCTCGTTGAGGAAAGTCGAGAATTAATTTTTTTTTCAGAGGCGATTTCACGCGTGGAATTGAAATTAATTGTGTTAAAAGAAGAGGAGAGCGTGGAACGTGTTTGTGCCTCTGTTCGAGTGGCCCCGCGTTGCAACAGGGAGTTTCTCTTTTTATCTTCAGTCAATGTTGCGGCATAGGAGTAGCGATGGGCTCGAGACGCGTTGGACCATGCGGTAAGAGTATTGATCTGTTTCGAATAACGGTTTAGAATTCCAACGAGTCTTGAATTGTGGGGTAGTTGTTAGGTATTTTGAGATTTTCGAGGGATTTTGAAATCCCTTTGTAGCCATTACTACCAAGGACACTATTTTCGATTTCGATGTCATTGAAAGAAGGTTCGTCGAGTACTGTTCCAAATATTGTCACTAAAGTGATAAAGTAGGCGTCAATGCATCAAAATTTAGTTGTGGCTCCGTGACGTTTATTATAAAGAATTTGTAAATCTAATCATGTGATCATTTCACACCGAGGGACAAATTAAGTTGGGAAAGTGAGGGTTAAACGACGATCGAGATATTTCGCTCAGACTGGCTGCGTGTCTCGATTCCATCGTTTTCACTTCGGCCCGAACTTCCTTATCGGCGCCAGGTTGAAAAGCAAAGCCACACTGATGGATGAACGTTTAAAGAAATACCTTTCGTTACGTTTACGCTAGCGTAGGCGTAGCCTAATATTTCATTCGGCGAGCGACGCGTGTGCAACCACGGAAAATAGAATTACTCGGTGGAAAGGCCGCAGAATTTCCACTGAACGCGCTTGTAATCGATGGCTCGGCGCGTCACCCACGTATTCGCTCCGTGTGATCGATGCGTGGCCTCCCTCGATAACTGCTCGCGCGAGAGTTCCATAACGATGTTCGAGCGGTTGCAGTCGTACAGTGGTCTCCAAAATCAAACTTGAACCGTTCATACGAATTTTTAGAGAATTTTGTTACCAGTTTCGACTCAGATCGATTAAAATCATAACTGAACATCATAATTAAAATCAAAACTCAGAAGAAACAATGAAGAATGGAAGAGAAAATAAGAATAATGTGTATAATTAAAACAAAAAATGTTTTCGTATTTGTTTATTGATAGCAATCATGGAGTGCAAAGGGTCTACCGATAAGTTGATACTTTTTTAAAAGAAATTTATTTTCGACCCACGTAAGCTGCTAAACTTTTGTATTCTGGATGACTGTGTGTTCTCTATTAAACAGAGCTCAAAAACAGCCATTGACGGGATTGATCGCCATCGTGTTTGAGAACCACTGTGGCTACGTAGCCCCTCCCCCCACTGTATATTATACATTCACGGGGTACACCACACAGACACGCTCCCACGTATAAAGTGGCGTCGCGCGAGTATAGTATAGTACAGTGTGTGTATACCGTTCGCCTGTCGCGCGAGGGAAGCCGAGAACGACCGAGTACGACCGAGCACGACCGAGTGGAATCGTCATCGACGCGGCGTACAAGCAGCTCCGGTCACTCTGCTCCGAGCTGTCGAACGCGACGCACGCGCCTCCGCTTCGCTTCTCCCTCTTTCTGTCCCGCTGCGAGTATACACTTATATCTCTCACTCTCCGCTTCGGAGGCAATCTTCCCTTTTTTTTTCCCTCGATTTCAACGCCGTCGAGCGTCGAATCCAGGAGCTTTGGCCCTGAAGCGACTTCACCTCCTCTGGAGATACAGAGGCCTACTTCTCTGGTGATAGAGGCCTTCTTTTTTGGTGATAGAGGTCTTATCTTTGGTGATAGAAGCCTTCTCTGGTCTTCTTCGATACGTGTACCACGCGCTTCTCCGTCCTCGGTCACCGATGCCGCTTCGGACGTTCCACGTTTGAACCCCATCGCTTCTACGAGATTCACCTTTGTGCTTGAAGAATCGCCCGAGGGGGGCTCAGTTCAACGATTCTTGATCCTTTTCCGACCTACCTTGGCAGTTTTTATTCCTTAGTGGAGGGAACCCACGATCATCTTCTCCGTTCGGATTTTCCTAGTCTGTATAATCGTGACTTGCTTCCTCGAACCATCACGTCTCCACTGGGTACTTCGAGTCATCAGGACAGTCGATATCAGTTTTCGGAGTATCGTTTCCACGAACCATCGTGGTCTTGATCGACAGGCTCGTGGGCCAAATAGTCGGACATCGTCGTCGCGTGTTGTCTTAGTATATGGGGCCCGTGATGTTGTCCTCGATGGAGGACGCCGTTCGTTTGACGGATCTCCGGGACGACGTTGCACGGCGGATACGCGGGCAGAACGGAGGCAGCTGGAGCTGCGAGACGACTTAAAGGCGACAGGGGATAAGGGACTGTCGTCGAGGTCCGAGAGACAGCCAGCGATCCTGTTTCGGTGGTTTCTCTCTCGCGGGGTGGCGAGGGTCCGAGTGGGAGAGTGCTTAGCCGGGTAGAAGGTGGTGGAGGGGGCCGGAAGATCGTGGTGGCTCACGAAGGTAATAAAGAAGACGGGATAGGTAACACGTGGTGGGGGGGAGAAAAATTCTTGTCAGGGTGCGTGAAACGAAAGGAATAGGAACGGATATAGAGGATAGGCAAGGAGGAAGCAAGACGAGAAGAAACCCTTTTCGCACACCTGACTCTGTCGTCGTCGAATTCTCGGTGGTATATAAGGGGTACACAAGGTGCGCATGGTAACCGAAGGCAGACAGAAACCTTTCTCCCCTTCACTCCCTTCTGCCTCCTCTCCTTTCCTGCCAGCTTTGAATCAATAATCTCCGGCCAGGATTATATGCGGATCCCCCCCCCCCTCTTTTTTTTTTTATTTCGGTCGCCTGTGATAAGAAAACTTATCCACGGACCATATATATCGACGAGGTACCCGGGGTCGATTCATCTCCAACAACCGTTCGATATTCACCGTTCTCCGGTTCGATATTCCTCGGGGACACGCTACCACCGATTTCGCCATCATCCTCTCTCTCTCTCTCTCTCTCTCTCTCTCTCTCTCTCTCTCTCTCTATTCCTGGCGGCGTGTGTGTGTTGTCTTTCATCGTTTAACCGGCGCGCGGTATCAGCGCGCGGATTATTGATCCCACCGTTCCTATTCGCCATCGTTTTGCTTATGATAGTTCGAGAAAACTTGCCGATATCGAGGGAATTATGATTACATCGTTATCCAGGGCAGACAAGGGAAGCTACAGGGGATGATAGAAAAGAAAAAACTTTCTATTTTTGGTCTAGTATCCTTGTACCTCCGTATAAGGATCCACGTTTTAACTACAATAATTTTGATCGTATTGTTTCTTTTTCGATTGTCCTTCCATTGATATTACGAGCTTAATCCCTCCTCTGATCCTCCGTTCGAAAGTCTGACCATCGGGATGTATGGTTATCTAATGAAAATATTTCTCCTATGACCGCAGATCAAGCCGTCTAGATGGAGGCCCGAGAAGATTCCACCTCGGTGAAGTCACCGGTGGTGACCACGTCGTCGACGACGCCAGCCACAGAGGAGACTACAGAATCGACCACGTCGTCGACGACGGAAATAGTAAAGGATACCACTGAGTCAGCCACATCGTCGACGACGCCAGCTGCAGAGGAGACTACCGAATCGAGGATCAAGAATGACACGACGAACGATCTCAAAGACGATGTTCGTCGATCCATCGATAACCGTGTCGGTGTAGTGTCGTGCTGCGAGGCTTCCCTAGAAGCCCCCAGAACGAATTCATCCCTGAAAGTCGAGCCAGACCTCGAGAGTCCGGCCATGAAATCAGGAAAGGACAACAGCAAGAAGACCGAAAACGCAGTGGCGGAAGTCGAATCGATCGAATCCACGCTGCAACGGGATTCCGATGAAACATCAAAGTTAAACTCTCCTGACCAAGAGGAAGTGTCGAGTATGGCCGAGAAATTAGGCAAGAATATCAGCAAGGAGAGCGAAGAGGCTGAAACGGAAGTTGATTCGAATGAATCCACAGACCAGAGAGATTTCGGTGAAACGACATTGACGTTGAAGTGTCTCGACCAAGATGGGGATCGAATTCTGTCTGGTAGCGTGTTGATCGGTTCCCCAGCGTCCAGAAAGAGGCCCGCCAGCGATTTCTTGCCGATAAACGCTGAGATCAAGCGGATCGGCGTCGAGACCCCGGAGAACGAAGCGAATCAATTTAGGGGCGACGTGAGGAGGATCTCACCAGTATTGGTGAGCCTTCGGGAGCGTACTCTGGGCGAGATATCGCTGTCTTCGGACTCGTGCCTGTTCGACGACAACGACGTTAACGGTCGACGTATATCGAGGAACAGTAGCAGATGTATGGACGATTCGTTGAACGGTGGTTGCATGCTGAACGTGAGCTTCGACGGTTCCGTGCAGACTGATGGACAGCAGGATCCCGTGACGATAGATCCTGCGCAGAGAGTGAACACCTCGCTGCAGGGTGACTGTGCGAGCATTGTGAACACAGAGGATTGTCATCGGAAGCTCGAGTTTCCCGACACGTACATCATCGATGAGGATTCTTGTTGCTCCCTACCAGCGGAGAGCCCTGAAACCGATGATCATCGGGCCTGCCACGAGAAACAGTGCGAGAAACCGATCGAGACGTCCCAGTGCAAGACGACCACCGCGGAGGAGGATGCATCATCGTCGTCCGGTAGCCCAGATCAGACGAAAGGTGGTGCGTGTCCCTATTTGGTGGTTAGGCTGGAACGGATCGATTGGCCGGACAGCGTGTCGCCGGATAGGAAGGACAAGAAGAGGGTGAGCAACAACAAGAAGAAAAAGACCGAGGACGTTTTCGACCAGAGTACCACCGACCTGAAAGACTCGCCGAAGGAATCTTCGTGCTGGGTCCAGAGGTGCACACTTGAGAAGAAGACCGAGTCCCTGGATCCTATGGCGAAACAGATGGACTCGCCAATAGTAGTCAGGCCGAAAACACCGCCGATCGAACAGCAATACTTACCTTCTGGCGATATCAAACGGTGTAAAGTGCTCTTGGAGAGGGTGGAGTCGCCTAAACGGGTGAGCATTACGCCAGAGACGTTCGTTAAAGAGGAAAGTACACCACCTGGACCTGCGAAGAAGACCACCCAGGTCGAGGAATCGGTGACCACGTCGTTACCTACCACGGAGAATCATCAAACGTCGAATAACGTGGAGTCATCCGAGGCGACACCAAACTCGCCGGAGGAACCGCTGGAACCTGCCACGGAAGTCCCAGAAGCGGTGGACACAGAAACAGAGACCGAAACCGGGTCAGATAGCTCCGAGGTGTCATCGTCCATAACGAACGCACGTATTCGTGGCTGCGACGACGACGCTGTTTCCGACCAGATATCCTGCCCCGAGAGCGAGTCCATGTGCTGCGTCGATATCAATCCCGAGATCATAACCAGGCTCGAGGCGGAGAGACCGGAAGCTTTCACGGAGGACTCCGCGGAGAGCCTGGCGCTCGCCACTGGGGCCAGGGATGAGGTTAGGTCCGATGGAAGCGATTCTGGGCTGGGTAGCGAGATCCCGGGGGATCCTGGACCTGCACCGGCCCCGGAGAGCGACTCTGAGACCTCGTTCTTGGACAGGATACCGGACGATATTCTTTCGGATAAGGAGAAGGGTAAGCGACATTTGTATTCCTGGTACAGTAGACTCTGAATTTAATGCCACTTTCGGGGCTGTAGGAGATGGCATTAAATTTCGAGCCCCCTCCATGCTAAGTTCTGTCCCATGGCGTCGGCCTCGAGCTAAATCGTGTTGGTGCGCCGGCGTACGCAACGTGGTGGGGAGAGCGAATGTGTGCGCGCGAAAGTACGTGTGAAGGGGAGTGACTCATGCGGCATTATTTTCAGTGGCATTAAAGTTAGAGTCTACTGTACTTACAAAGGAATTTCAGCGTCTTTTCCCATTTTTCTGTATATCTCCGAAACAATAGTAAATATGAGAAATGTAACGGGTTTTCGTGCTCTATAAAACTGCAATGATATGGTTGAAAATTTGTTTTTTAAATAAATAAACAAACAAACAAATTTTTAACAATTTCATTTTACAGTTTTGTAGAGCACAAGAAGCTGTTAAATTTTCATTGTGACAGTTTTTTGATATTTCTTACAGTTTTTAAGATATACAGGAAAATAGGAAAAGACACATTAACCTTTAAGTTTCATTCTGAAGACCCGATTATAAGCAAAAACGAAAAATCGGCCGATGCTTCTATCGAGGTACCCTACAAATCTGCGGAGTTTTACAAAAATCGAAATTTTCGGGATATTAAAGTTCTCTTGTTTGTGAGAATGGATCTTAAAGTAATATATCGTTACGAGAATGCCAATTTCGGTGTTGTATTTCTCTCTACGGATTGAGTCACTTTTTCTATGCGCGCGCGGCGTAGACAAGATGTATTGTTAGAACACGATAGCCACAGGAAAGTATAATGTTTCAGCCGTGAATCAGCTGGACACTTTCGTCCCGAACGTCGCCGTTACGGGAACGCCGCAGACGCCGTTGACGACGTTCCCCAGCCCTCCGAAGAGCAATCTGAAAAGACGATTGACCGACTGCATGGAAGGGGCTCCGAGTCCGAAGAGAACCAACACGGACGAACCGATGAAAAAGAAACGAAACATTCAGTTCGACGCAGTCACCGTCTACTACTTTCCCAGGTCACAAGGATTCACCTGCGTGCCTTCTCAGGTAAGAGGAAAATCACAAAACTTGGTCTCTAAACAAACATTAATTAATTTCTTTGCGGCCAATCCTTTCATTTTGCTCTCTTGACTCGCTCAATTTTCCAGAAACTTTTTTTACTCGTGAATTTAAATACATCAATTAGTTGTGTTTACCCGCAATGCTGGTACACGGTCTTTATTGACATTAGGTTGCTGCAAAGTTTGCAAACGAGAATATGACAAAATGATATGCATCTTTTGCAGGGCGGCAGTACTCTTGGTATGAGCTCGACGCACACCCACGCCGAAAGGTTCTCGTTGTCGGAGCACGCCGCCGAGCAGAGGCGGCTACATCGCGCCAGGTTGGCGCAACTGCGCTCTGAGCGTGCCGCGAATTGCGTTGCGGAAGCTGCCTCCAGCTCGGAGGATCCCAGCGACGACACGGACGAGGAGCAGAGCGACACCGAGGAGCTCGATATCGATAGTTATTACTTCCTCCAGCCAGTGCCCACGTGGCAAAGACGAGCCTTACTTAGAGCGGCGGGGGTCCGTAGAATAGACGCGGTCGAGAAGGACGAGTGCCGGGACATTCGTGCAAGCAGAGAACATTGCGGCTGCGGGTGCAAAGGATACTGTGATCCTGAGAGCTGTCCTTGCAGTCGTGCCAACGTAAAGTGCCAGGTTGGTAAACTTGTACGAAGGAAACAGAGAGGGCCCGTTTAGTAATGCTGACTGGACGGGCTTCCGGTAGAGGGCTCGGCGTGTGTGATTTCTGTTACTGACCGACAGATGGCGAGAGAGTTTGAAGTAAAGGTACGTTTTCACGTGACAGTAAATCGAGATTTTTACGGTCATGGCACGCAATGTTATGACTTTTGTCGTTGTGTTGTCGTGACATTGATTTACATTGTCATACAGTGTCACGATAACAAAATCCATTACTTATACTGTCATGTGAAAACGTACCTTAACATCAGTGACGAATATAAAGATGATTTGCCAGTCAGTATAGCGGGGACTTCACGGGACTCTTTTGTATTAGGTATATCAATAAGTAAAGCCACTTGTCAGTTTATTTCCAAGGAAATCGGGAAGCCGTCTTGTTTTAGTAATATTTTTCCTTGTACAGTGACTCATAAGTTTGTGCATGGAAGGCTGTCACTTCTGTTTCACCGAATTATTTACCGAAATGCCGATTTTATTTCAAAATCGAATAAAATTTATCACGGGACTTTTATCGTTGATCTTATTGGTAGACTTTAACAGGTATGTTTTGGTACGAATGTTAACAGGTCGATCGAGCGGGTTTCCCCTGTGGCTGCACACGCGACGGCTGCGCAAACAGTACAGGCAGGATCGAGTTCAACCCGGTACGCGTGCGGACGCATTTCATTCACACGTTGATGCGATTAGAACTGGAGAAAAAACAGCGCGAAGAAGAGGAGGGCACGGATCACGATGTTTCCGACAATCAGAACGGTAGAAGTCCCTTGAGGGAGATCAGTTTAGGATCGGTGATGGAGAACAGGAACGCCGCGGAGTCATGTCTGAACGGTGGCGGTTTCACGACGTTGCATTACGAGAATCACGAGGCTGGCGACGGCGGCGGGCCAAATTGTCAGCCAGACGTTCCAGGGACACGGGAGGATAGCCTGGATCTGTACGCGATTAGAGACGATTGTTATCCTAGCGAGGACACTGTCGACGGTACGCAGGGACCTCAAAGGAAACTTCATCCTGAGTTTAGCCAAGCGTTTCAAACGTTCACGAGCCAAACGAGCGCCGGTGTTGTGAACTTCCAGCAGCCCGCTTATCAGGACTATCAACCTTATGCTAACCTTCCTTCCACGTCTAGGGTGCAATTCCAGCCGCAGTTTCAAACGGTGTCGGGAAATCCAGCCGGCGGGTTCTCGCATTACGCGGCGTACGGGCAGCAACAAGACACCGGTGGAACGATTCCGGGGAACTGTCAGGTCCATCCAGGCCAGCAGCAACAGCAGCATTCTTCCAGTAATTACGAGGCAACGTTCGCCCAGGACGAGACCACCGGATCCCAGTACACAAATCTGAACTCGGTGCCGACCATCAACGCTGTGCAACAGTTCTCGGAACTTCTGTCACGTAGATACTCGTATTTCACGGAGATCGAGCCGCAGGCGCACGGTACTTATCACGGGACCGGGACGAAGGTCGAGGCGGAGAAGAGCCAAGGTAACGAGCAACAATCAGAGAGCACGGAGGAGTGTGACGAGAACTTCGGGGAGATTATTAAGAAGTCGATGGTGGAGACCGTGTCCGCTTAAAAATAAGTCGGCGAACTGTTTTTCTTTTTCGTTTTACATACGAGGATTGTTGTCTCTGAATGTGTGCGAAAACAGAGCAGAAAAAAAGGCCGTCTGGCTCGTATAACAGTTCGACGACGAGAACATATAGAGTAATCTTTCGACGAGCATGAATCTCGTTGAAACGCCTCGCGAATAGAGGATGAACAGAATAATTAGGGGTGAGGAAGCAGGAGGAGGGTCCGCGGGAACTCTCTCTCTCCGTTGCGGTCGGTTCATCCTTCTGCGGGGGGTTAGATAAATCCGAGTATAAAATTGTTTCGGTGATTTTCGAAAAGAACCAAACAAGGGGTTTCTTCTCAAGAATCACTTCACCCGCGTGTTTACACACTGTGTACATGACGAGTCCCGTGGATGTCGTTAGAGAAATTGTAACGCGGCTATATGGCGTGCGTCCGCCCGGGATGGGAAACTCGAGACCGTCGTCCCTGTTGTTCCATTTTGTAGACTAATTCTCGGATCGCCACGATCGCGACCCGAGGTGTGGACACATGGCGACGCTCTAGACAGGGACAAAACCTGCGAAGAGAATCCGGGGGGGGGGGCCGCGAATTCGGCGATTGGATTTTCAAGTGGGGCGAGGAAAGGGTCTTCGTCGGAAATATCTCCATAGAACGATACAGTCTCCTTGAAAAGAAAAACCGGAGCAAGGTATCTCTGTAACCGAGAGTTACAGGGAAGCAAAAAAATCAACGAGGTTGTGACCAAGAAACAACATGGGATCAGCTTAGATTGCAGTTTATAAGAGAAACCTTAACTTTAATACATTAATCGTAGGGTCGCGGGTCACGCAACTTTTTAAAACGAGACACAACCATATTAAAAACCGGGGGGAAACGGGAGGTTTCGCGTGAAGATGATCGCAATAATGGCGCAAGGCCAGGGAGGGGAACACGTGTACCACCAAGATTCGAAGGGTGTTCGCGATGTTTGCTGATGCGAGCAGAGGAAAGGCACACACGTAATGTAATTACGTACAACACACGATCATGTACCACATGGAGAACACATTTGTAAACACGACCACAAGATCTGTGAGCGATTGTGATACTTGTGCATATGAAACAGAAAAAGAGAGAAAAGAATAACGCAGTTTTGCCAGGCGAAATAGGTTAAGGAAATAAAATTATGGGACTTTTTTATGCCAGTGTGTAGGAAGTCGAGAGAGTTCGAGTGGTTTTTCAATCAACGGCTGATGGTGAACGATAGAGAATAGAATTTTCTTTTTCCTCGTGTTTGTAATTAAGTACACACATACACACACACACACTAAATGCACATTGCCGATACACGGAATAACACATACATATATACAGAATACACAGCCTTTCCAATGTTAGAGAATCATGGTTGGCTGACATGAGCAAGGGCATGCCTGTCTACAGAACATATAATATTTTTAACACTTTAATTTCTTTTTTGTTAGTTTCCTTTTTTGGTTTACATGGCACTCTGAGCTCGCAGTTCTGTTTAGTGCCGTGCACCTGTTATTCTTTGGAAACAGTCCAAAAAACAGTTCTAATTATTATTGTACAAGTGCGTTTGTACGATGATTTTTACCGTTGGATATTTTTACAGTTTATTTTTAATCTGTTTCAAGTGTATTACTTTCTGTAGACAATTTTTATCGGTCGCTACTCGAGTATACGTTTCAGCTCGATGTATGTGAAGGTTCTTTTGTTCTCATCATTTTATCTCTTTTGTCACGATCTTTTCTTGTTTATATGGTACTTTTATATTTCATTCGATCGCAGCTAAAACCACCGATTCGATATCAGGTGCTCATGATACAAAATCTCGTCACCGAATTATAATTTCGTCCAACAGCAGCCCCCTTGTGAACGTCAACGTTGCGCGTTGGCGATACCAGCCCCCCTCCCGACGAGCAATTTTACAGTTTCATTGTATAAACTATTTATTGTTTTCAATTATATACACTTTTATACAGAGAATATACAAGTAGGGACTAATCGATACGTCAGAATTTTAAAACTCTGTTAAATCGATATATCAGCTGTTGACGAAGGTCGACGATCATTTCGCTCCCGCGAGTGAAATGTGAGTGCGTGCCGTGTACCAATAATTTCGATACGCTGCACTTAAATGAAAAGGAGTGAAACCCGCGCGAACTGTTTTTTTTTCTATTCGATATATCGAACCGACGAAGTCTGAAGGCACAAAAAAGGTTGCCTTACCGCGGGACGTTCTTTTGCACACCACATTGTTAATCCACCCTTGTAGATTTTCAGACACAGACCTGTTTAGCATCCCGGGACGTTGATCGCTATACCCACGATTTATTGAAATATTACCACGTAAGGGGAAAAATACAATGATAACGACGATAGTATTAAAACAAAAAAATTTATACATAATTTACCGGACGTGTCAGCTCCTGAGCACCACTTGTCGCTCTTCTATTTCCGTGGTACTCTACACTGTGTTCATCGTGTCGCTGATTGGTGCCTAATAATCGTTACGTTTGTTGTCAGTGTGCAATGCTAACGAGAATATCTCACGCTCGAAAATAGAAGAAACGAGAAGGGGGTCAAAAATAAAGGGGCGTAGATATATAATTCAACGAACCGTTGACGCGTTTTTTTTTTTCGCGAGGGATATGACACCTCCGTAACCCGACATTAAATATACATATAAACCTACACCGTATGTAAGTAACTTTTAGAGTATTTGAGTAAAAAAAGGCATACATAGTTGATAGCGTTTTATTAAATGTTGTGAAAAAGTCTCTTTGTCTGTCGTGTAATGTGTTGTCTCATTTTTGTGTGTGCGTCTCTCTTTTCATACTTTATTACTTCATCCTTACACGACACTTATCGCATCCCTAGAAACCCTGTACATCCACAATTCCTCCTGTCGCCATTGTGTCGATTGTAGTTCAGAAAAAGTATATCAAACGTCTTCTATGTGTTTCGTTCCGATCTACTATTACTCCTCAAATCATTAATACAGTCCTATCGTTATTAATTATCTAGACTGTAACCACCTATATGTTCCCTACCGGAAGTGACTTCCGTAGAAGTGTAACCCTCTCATTAATTACCGTTGTGTACTTGTCATTATTTAAAGTCACGTGTAACTGTAGTAATGGTCAATTAGCATACGCTAACACTCGTGTAGTAGACGGTAAAAAATAACGTGGTATGTCTGTCGTAAAACACACGCAAATGTATACCGTCCACATTTTATAACTGAACATACAAGTACTGTGCAAAAGCCTTAGACCATCTGTCACAATTGATAACTAATTCCCTTATTTTTCTAAATGGTTCGAATAATCCTTCACTACTTGTCCGTATACTTCAGGTCAATTGTCTCATAAAACGAAACTATCTAAACTTCAACACAGTACAAGTAAACGCATCGCCATTTGAATCTCCTGCCCATCTGACGCACGCTGCGCGCGCACCTCGAACCACAACATGGCGTCCGTAGCGGGAACCCCGTGCGCGAAGATCGACGCTGGCACGGCAATGCTTGTCTCAAACATCTTGACGGGATTCGAAAAGACGCGTCGGCCGTATGATCGGCCTTCGAAACGCGGGAAACGATAACGCACCTCGATATTTACGTACAGAGGTAAGATAATTCGTGCGTAAACATCGGCTGCCCCACGGCGGTTCCTTTCGCGACGGTTTTTGCGGGTAGTGGGGGCGCGGCGATGGAAGGGAATGGCATTAGCGGAGCTGTTGACTCGAGTGCCGCTGGAAGTAAGCGGCTGTCCGTGAGCCCGTGCGGAGGTTAGTTCGCTTCGCCCGTGACCGAAATTATCATTGGACCGTGTGTGTGCGCGCGTGTGTGTGTACTCGTCCCGTTTGTTCGGCGAAATAAAAAAAAAGAAAAAAGCAGGAACAAGGGAGTCGGTGCTCGTGTGGCGTGTATAGTGCCCGGGACCCGCGTGTTTCGTGAACGCGATTCAAAAAAAGTCTCGAGTCTCGTGAGAACGGATCAGTACGACGGCGTGCTAGTGTCGTTGACGTTTCGTGTGTCAGTGTCCTCTCTCTTTCTCTCACTCTGTCCCTCCGTCTACGTTCCTCTCGCTTCATCCTACGCACCCTACCGCTGCGCGCCCTCGTCCTTTTTCCTTCTGTCTCCGCGTTCTCTTTACGTTGACCATCGTCGTAGCGCACAAGCCGCGTTCCCGTCGCTGCGATGCCAGATGACAGGTGCGAGACGGTGCCACCGGTATCTCCGAACGAGTCATTCGAGTGTCCTGCGGATTTAGGATACGCCGCAGAATGACGAGCGCAAAGTTATTTTACCGGAAGGGCGGCGAAGAGGACCGAGGACGACGACCACGACGACGATCTCGAATTCCCTCGCGCTAGCGTTGGGCTATGAGCGCTGACAATGGGGACGACTCCTTGGTAATTATCATACCTTTCTCTTTTTTATTGCCCTCTCTTCGTTCGTTCCTCGACGGCCTAACCCGTTCTCTCTCTGTCTATCGCGCGTGCTCCCGGTCGTTCTTTTCCGCGTCTGTATTTACGGGCAACGGGGGCTCTCGCAGGTTGACAGCGCGCCGTGCGGAAATTATCGCGGATTTGAAAGCTTTTTCTCTGTGACGCAACGCCATCACGGCGGAAGTTACCCCTACTCCTCTTGTCAGGAATTTCGTATATGGAATGGTTTAGCCCTTTAACTGGCCAGGCGTTTCTGGTAGCTTATGGATTTGTGTTAGAATAGTACTCTTCAAATGGAACGTAGAAATATTATAAATATTATAAAATATCAGTACAGACTCCTCTCGATTATCGTCTGGCTTGTTCTACACGATTATTGTCCAGGCGTTATTCCCACCACTCGAGGGGGAGGAGGCCGTGGAACCTGTTAATCGCATACTTTGTTCCTGAGACTCGGGCTTTGGAAAAAAAAAAACGAATTTACGAGGGTTTGAACCATTTCTCTCTATAAGATTATTGTCTCTGCGTGGACCTGAGTTCGGGACGATAATCGAGAGGAGTCTGTAATTCCTCATAACGGATTCCTAATTTCGGAGCATTACAGATGAGGTATTACTAAATTTAAACATAGTTTTGTAGACTTCACGCGAGGGGTTTATTTTGAATCGAACTTAAGACTAATAATTATATTGAAATTTCATGAAATGTTCAATGCAAAGAATTTCTCGTTTATAAATAATTTGATTTCTAATTGGAACGGAATAGGGACACAGGGAAAGTTTAAGTCTCTCGTCTCGAATGTTTCTCGTCATTCCGCACGGCTCTGGTCGTGCGTTACGCGTCTCTCAAGACCGGTTTTCACTTGCTGTTTTCCTCATGCCGTTTTCTTCCTAATTTAAACGGTTCTCTTCTATTCGTCGGCAATACGTTACCTGCCTTCGAGCGTCACTCCGCGGTTCTTGAACAGCTGTTACGTCTAAGTCTGTTGAATATTATCGAAGCACGACAAACATGACATTCGGCCAGCACATTCTACCTTTTTAAGGTGAAACCGTGGCTTTATGTTGTTTCTTTACGTATCCGCGACGACTGTATAAAATGAGTCGACCAGACGGAAATCGTGAAAAGTTTTACCTGTCGCGGCCGAATGAATCGATTTCGATTCACCTTGTACATAACAAGCTTCGACCTTTTGACAATCGCTAACAACGATGACTAATCGGTCCGTATAGCATTCTGAGCACGAATGTTTGTGCTTGAATTCGCTACTTTTGACGGGACGATAAATTACATACATACAATCGACGTGTGCGTATCGGTTCGAAAATTCACACGAATCCTCCACGACGATTTAATATACATTTGTTAATTTTTCTGGGCTGGTTGAGAGTGTAACTATACGGTTATAGTACACGGTGTGAATTACCAGATTGGTCCCGGTTACGGGGACCACGGACCCTTCAGAACCGACTCATCTGCACAGGAGTAAAAGTAATTTCTCGGTCTGATGATATTTCTCGGCTGATTGCCGTGGTTGTGAAACTCGCCTGACGTTTCGCAAGTTTCCCCGTGAGTTCGAGGCAGGACAAAATGGAACGAGAGTGGAATACAATTTTCGGCTAGAACCTCTCCGATGGTACACGTACGTACGTGCTTGAAATTGCTCGCGACCAAGACGTGACAGCATACAATAAGATACTCCCAGGATCATTCGAGTGTGTCACGTATGGTACAAGGTCTTTACCTGAAGATTTATTGGAATACGGTTATTTTTTTCTGTATTATTCGCCGAGAATTAGAATTTTCTCGCCTCGGGCTCAGGTATATCCACGCTGACCTTTGTTCAAAGCCCGTGAAGGTAACACAGCAGGCCTGGGTGGTTCGATGGGACACGTTCAATAACTCGAGAGTCAATGAAACTCGCGCACGCTCGCGCACGCGAAGGTATGCCTACTATCAGGGGACGTTCTGTTTGTATTGGGAGATCAATCGGCCGGGCGAATAGTTTCCGTAAATTATACATAAGGTCGTTACTCGACGGAATAACTACTGTGTATTCACTAGCGTCTCGTATTCGTTACTGGGCTTCGTTTAAGGTTTAATACCTTTTTCTAGACCTTGCACGTATAACTTCGTTTAAAGTGAAAGCGTTCAAGGATACATCAAGGTAACTCGAGAGTTGCTTGAACGGGATGAATACTTTATTCAAGGTGTTATCAACAAAGTTAACAAAATTAGTCGAATCTATTCGAAGCTTAATTTCACTATCCTAACCTTAACTTCGATCATCATTAAACCCTTCATTAACACACTGGGTCAAATAGACCTAGAATTTCACTTTGAAGTATAATATCTGAGACATCATTGACAATAATGGCGTCGTGAATTAATAATTTCAGGTACCCCAAAAAAAATGTTCAACAATTTCGTTTTTTTTTTCAAGAATTTTTTTAAACACTATGAAACTTTCAATGTTTATTTCTAACCATAGAAATATAATCTACAATATTCAAATTTCACCTCAGAATGTTTTCTGCCTCAATATGACAAATAATTTTTACCCAACACCTGATTGAATATATTGTGTCAAAGTTACCCAGTATGACAACTACGTTTAAAAAATGAGGTATAAGAACGGAGGGTTAATTGGAGCCTTGTAATCAGAAAATTTTAAGGGATACACGCAACTTCGTTAAATTTAAAATAATTTACGTATTGTGGTCGAGTTACGAGTTATTCTCGCGAAACGCCAGCGGCGATCCGTTCAGAGTTCGACTTTCCTGGTCTCTCCATATTTCCCAACGAGAAGGCACAGTGTCTGTCTGGAAGGCTCTTTTTTTTTTTTTTCTCTTGACGATTGGAAATCGCTCGATCGACGTCGACCGAGCTCCGATTCCTTCGAGACCCGGCTCTATGAGAAAGGTAGGGCGGGGTATGTGTATAACGCGCTTATGAGAATGCAAAGTAATACGTGTCAAGTCTAACGAGGCGCGTCGCGGAATGCAGGAGGCGAGAAAGAAGTGCCCAGAGAGCCTCGTGAACGTGAAACGTCGGGAACTCGTGGAACTCCTTTCTACGCGAAGCTGGCCCAAAAATACGCCGAGCAATTGGAGCTGCTCGGGAAACACCTGAACAAAGTTGCGGGGCTGGTGTGTTGGAAGCATTCGCGTTGCTGGAGGCCAGGAAATCCTCTTTTATTCAAAAGGGAAGGAATTCAAGTGTCCTAGTTTTGACTTTAACGAGGTTTTGTTGGATGTTAGACTGCGAATTTTAGGCATTTGTAGCCTATAGGGCTCTGTGAAATACAATGAAAGACAAAACTTTTATTGGATTCAATGAGCTTTCCATTTTAGTCTGAACCTAATGAGATACTTAAGGGGCTGTGCTAGTGTGACAGTTTCAGAAAATCGGATTTTTCTTTTTTGCAATTTGCAACGATTTTTTGAGGAAGAGGAATGTACTGTTTTATGCTCTAAAACAGTACTTGAAACTTTGATCGCGTTTTTCTCGCAGCTAGTTTTTCTTTAACCCAGACCTGTGTACTATCGACTTAAAAAATCCCCTTAAAATCGAAGTTGGACAGTGTAGGATCCTTCCCTTGTCAGAGGGTTTCAAGAGGGTTTTATTCCAATTGCAATCCAAAGTACCTGAGGACCTTCCAGAATATCTTGAAGATTTGTAGAATATTTCGAAGACTTTCAGAATATCTCGAAGACTCTCAGAATATCCAGAAGACTTTCAGAATACTCTGCAGGTTTATAGAATAGCCAAGATGCTGTGGAAGTATCGACGATGCTAAGACAGATTTTCGAGTGTCAGAGAAGCTTCTAGAAGCCATCCGACAAGGGACGTTTCAATTGAAGCCAATTTCATCGAGCTCGATGTCGATCCCAATAGCTTCTCGACGTCAGTGTCCCGTGTACGAATTGGAGTATCAACAAGGAAGAACTCGATTCACAGGAATAATCTTCTTTTCGAGATTGTACCTCAGCGAATACCTGAGCAAAGAGGGGTACGTTCCTCAGGACACGGATCTTTCGAAAAGTTCAGCCACGCGAGAGAACAAAGAAGGAGTGGTATAGAAGAAACTCGAACGATAAACTAGTCGATCTACCGCATTCGATGGATGCTGGCCGTGCCAATGCCACGGGTACTGTTACTTCTAGTTATCCGACCTCAAGGTGAAGAAAATCCAACCAGAACTCCTATGAACCAGCCAGAAGTTTCAGTTTTCTTTATAAATCTCCGATGAACCTCCAGACATAATACCAAGAAGACTCTAATCTCTGGTTAATTCGATCTTTTTGAGTATTCAGATTACAGCTATTAGGAAATATTTTTCATTAAATACTTTTCCAGAAAATATTCGAATGATTAACTAGAGATGGGATGAAGTAAATTGCAAGTAGGTTCGAATCTAACTGAATAATTTCGAACGTTTCATAAATACTCCGAAAAAGGAAATGAATATTTTTAAGTCGAAGTGAAATTCTGTTTCATTGGTATTAACATCTAAGATTTAGAGTAAATGTTACACTTGTTCTAATGATAAAATTCCTTTGATATCTGGGAAATTATTAACGATAAAGTAATGCTTGAAAGTACAGTCGTCAAGGAAATCGTAAGGCAAGTTATCGAAAGGACAATCGTAATTCTGGCGAAAAATATGAAACGTTGTCCATACACTTTCACGCTTCCGTCATAGCGTGTAGGTTCGCGGGAAAAAGAGAGATAGGAAGAATGAAATAAGAGAGAAAGATTCCTCTCGTTTCGTACTGAATTCTGAATGGACATCCGCCTTTCTCACGATCGAACCGACTCGTGAGAAGATCGATTCGTGCGAAGCGCGACGTGTAACTGGAGCATCGGCGGCGATGCAGGTCTTTTTCTTCTCTTTGCCAGTTGTTCGTGCACAATATATATGTCAATATTGAAATTGACCCGTGTGGACATTGTTTGGTCAC